GTGTAATTCTTCTATCTACCCAAATTCTTCTGTCAATATTATGTCAATCTAACTCCCTATTCTATCCCCTTCCTTTCTTAGTGTCTCTGTCTTCCTGCCTGTCTCTAGTCTGTCTGTCTCTCTGCCTGCCAGCCTCTCACCCCCAATAATCTGCACCCCCCCACCCACCGCCCGAAGTGGAAAAAAAAAGCTGCAACAAAAGCACTATAGATTTGTTTGTATAAACATACGAACTGTTGACAATATCCTGTCCAGTGAGGACCTCGGTCCAGTTCAGTTGAAGCTGATAGTCGCGGTGCGACCCTTGGTCAGAGGTCACTAAGTACACGCTCTCCCTAGCTGGATCCGCCTCGGTCCCCTCAGGCCTTTCATGGACCTCATAGTTCACCTGCCTTATGAGCTTCACAGAGCTAGGCTGGTAGTACGACCGGATGGGGTACCGACCGAAGCTCACTGTCAAATGCAAAGCATAGAGCTCATTCAAGTTATAGTTAGTCGATCTACAAAATCCGATAAAATACCGTGATAGACAATGTGTTTAGTACGTTCACAAGCATAGTATTCTAGCAAAAATTCACATTTGTAAAAACATAGAAAGTACATTTAAAAGTAGAAGGCAAGGGAAGAAGGGGGAGACTTAATAGAAGATGGACACAATATATTAGACATAGAAACCTGGTTTGGAGCCAAAATAACCCAGGCAAGCAGAAAGGCAGGGGCCTATATTTTATTGCAGAAAGCTTCAACAACTGGACAACGAAGAAGATGAAGTAGTATACAAAGTATTTCTGATTTTTAAAAAATAAATATTTGTTTTACTCACCCCCCCCCATTAAATAGTGACCCCCCTTTCCCCTTGTAAAAGGCGTTTAAGTCTCGTCACGCCACAAGCATTATACTATCCAAACGAAATGGCTTACTTTCTCCGTAGACTGAACATCCCTGGTGGACAAAATCTGAGCGTTAGGGTCAGACATCCGGGCGTTGAACAGTTTCGGTGTGAACTGGGCGTGGCGTAGCTCCATGACGTCACCACTGTCGTAGACCCGGGACAGGTCAGTGGCTCGCAGTACAGAGAAGCCACGCCCACCTAGGGTAATGAACCGACTGAAACCGTAGTACTCAGGATTTTGTTCGCCGTTATCTTTGGTGAATTGGAGTCCACCTGACCAGAGAAAGAGGTCATTATGACGCCATCAGTGCAGCTGTTTTAGTAAGCGTTTTACGGCATTTGTCACATAATAAGAGTCCAAGATTACATAATATAAAACATTTTTCTTTTACAAGTCCCCTCTACTGCTCCCCACAAGTTCTGCGTAACATGTATTGGAAAACACACTCAGATACAGGTATACACGCCCCCCCCCACACGCAAACACGCGCACACAGACACACAGACTCACACACACACTCACACACACACACACACACACACACACGAACACAAACACACACACTTTCTATCATTCAACCATAGAAAGTATGATCAATTTCTCTAAGACAGCATGGGCCGGGAACACAAGAAAACAAGATAAAGAAAAATTGAATTGATTAATACGGAAAGCATGCAACATGTCAACATCTACACTCCCCTACTTCGCTGAATTATACATTATCGCTTACACTAGAAAAATAAATTCCATCATTTTGGACAATAAACAGTCCTTTTACCTCAAATAAAGATATCAATCAGAAGTAAAAGACCTAGGCTTCTGATCTATATCAAAGAAAGGTACAGAAGGTCATTCTTACCATCACCCACGAAACTTCTTCCATCTTAATAATCTCGTTTTAAGTATCTCTATGACCTTTAAAGTAAAGCATGCATCAGAATACCAGTGAGTTATAATCAAAATGCGGAGAACGTAGCTACCTTAACACTATTAATGTTCATATTACTGTTAATATAATTATATATTATGCATTTGATTGTGAGCCTGTTTGTGAGTGCGAGCATACTATTTATTATTATAGTTATGTGCACAGATGTGTGTGGAAGAGAGGATGTGTGAAGGAAGAGTATGTGTGTATATGGGTGTGCA